ACACGAGTGCAGGCAGAATACGGGACGGCATTATACAAGAGAACTAGCACACAGGGGCAGGCAGTACACACGAGAGCAGGCAGCACACACGTGCAGGCAACAGCGTAGTGCATACCTGGCCTCCAGTGTCCGAGTCTCGCCCCAGCTCCATGTTCTCTCCTCGGACCAACCCATGGATGCTGTATGGTGCCTTATACGAGAGACACGTGGCAGCACACAGGAGCAGGCAGCACAGATGCACCACACAGGAGCACACATACCTGGCCGCCCGTGTCCGAGTCTCGCCCCAGCTCCATGTTCTCTCCTCGGACCAACCCATGGATGCTGTATGGTGCCTTATACGAGAGACACGTGGCAGCACACAGGAGCAGGCAGCACAGATGCACCACACAGGAGCACACATACCTGGCCGCCCGTGTCCGAGTCTCGCCCCAGCTCCATGTTCTCTCCTCGCACCAACCCATGGATGCTGGCGGGTGCAGGGGGGAGAAAACACATGCACACGCACAATGCAAATTACAATAAAAAACATGCACATGCCAAATGTGTTCAATCATTTGCATGCGCATCCAAATTCAGGCGGATGTCTAACTCGTCTGTTCGTATGCTCTTGGCCTAGCATGCCTAACCAAAGCGTCCTCACTGATAAATAACACTGACTGATCCACAAAATTCCCAAGGCTCATCTAATCATGACAATTCCTGAAATCTCATTTCTATGTCATGCTCAAACGCATCTCTCCCAGGCGCCTCAGCAGCCCATTTGCTGAAAAACTCATTGCACTCAAGCACAAAAATTATATATGCTGTGCAAAACACTTATTGAATCATGATATTTTCAAGGCTCACCTGATCACGGCAATCCCAAGGCTCACCTGATCACGGCAATCCCAAGGCTCACCTGATCACGGCAATCCACTCACCTAGTCACGACAATCACACGGCCCACCTCATCAAAACAATCCCAAGGCCCACCTCATCAAGGCAATTCCAAGGCTCACCTGATCGTGACAATCCCAAGGCATGCCAAATCATGACAATTCCAAAGCTCACCTGATCACGACAATCCCAAGGCTCACCTAATCACGACAATCCCAAGGCTCACCTGATCACGACAATCCCAAGGCTCACCTGATCATGACAATCCCAAGGCTCACCTGATCACGGCAATCTTAAGGCTCACCTGATCATGACGATATAGAGCCTCTTCTCCGTGCCATGTTCAAGAGGGTCCCTCCCAGGCACCTCAGGTGTAGAAACTCATTGCACTCACCTAGAAACGACAATCCCAAGTCTCACCTGATCATGACAATATAGAGCCTCTTCTCCGTGCCATGCTCAAGCGGGACCCTCCCAAGCGCATCAGGTGTAGAAACTCATTGCACTCACCTAGAAACGACAATCCCAAGTCTCACCTGATCATGACAATATAGAGCCTCTTCTCCGTGCCATGCTCAAGCGGGACCCTCAAGCGCATCAGGTGTAGAAACTCATTGCACTCACCTAGAAACGACAATCCCAAGGCTCACCTGATCATGACAATATAGAGCCTCTTCTCCGTGCCATGCTCAAGCGGATCCCTCCCAGGCGCCTCAGCAGTCAACCCTGCACCAGCAGGCACCTCCCTCTGCCTCTCCCCCTGCTGCGCCCCCTGCTGCTGGTTCTCCCTCCTCCCCCGGGATTCCTTCTCCGCTGCAGCCTTCGCTGCCGCCGCCTGAGCCGCTGCCACGTTGGCACTGGAGTCCAGCAGGTCATCCGCGGCCTTGTCCACGTCAGCAGCCACGTCAGCACCGGGCAGAGCGTCCGGGAGGGCGTCATCGTCAGGGCCGTCCTCCTCCTCTATGTCCAGCTCAGCCTCCTCCTTGTCGTGCTGCTGCTGCTCCTTGATGCGCGAAGCTTCCTGCTCCAACTGCAGGGGGCGGTGGAAGGTTCGAGAGGAAAAGGGATTTGAGGAGGACACGTTTTTGGAGAGAATGAGGGGAATACGAATCAATGTTGGCCGAGTCCCCATGAAGCAGAGCGAGGGAGTCCGGGAGGGTGGACTCAGGGCCGTCCTCCTCCTCTATGTCCAGCTCAGCCGCCTCCTTGACGTGCTGCTGCTGCTCCTTGATCCGCGATGCTTCTTGCTCCAACTGCAGCAAGAAGCGCCAAGCAAGGCGGAGATTGTGATGAAGATTTAGGGCATTGTTGGGGGAGGATTTAGGAGAGTTACAAGGGGGGGGGGGGGGGGGGGGGGGGGAGGGGGAGGAGGTAAAAGATATAGGGAGAAGTTTTTGAAGATTGGGATGTAGTTAAGACGACTGGGTGGGTGTCAATTTAGGAGTTTGAGGACAATTGTGGGGAATCGCAAGGCCACGAAGTGCCAGCAAGACAAATTTCTGCAAAAAGGGACATCAGTGATACGAAAATGCTTTTCCAGGTTAGACGATGCATACTAGGATTATGCTTTGTTTCCCAACAAATACCTACACAGTACAGTCGGTACGCGAAGCATACCTGCTTCTTCTTCCGGGACAGGTGCCAAATTCGCCACGTGAAATTCTCCATTCGGGACCCTTTCTCGTCGTTCATTGCTGTGGCCTGCGCAGATCACGGATCAAAGCAAAGCACGCATTAGGACATTGTAGCTGCTAAGACACAATCGTGGGCGACACGCCTTCAAGTACGATGTCTACATGTGCGATATGTTCACCCATGCGAGACACATGTCCGTGTGCGACAATTTCGTGCGCGGCGCTTCCATCGTTTATGTGCGACATTTCCAACGCTGGATGTGCGACACTTCCATCGCTCATGTGCGATACCTTCATCCATGTGCGATGCAGCTCCTCCTCGCTCGAATCCTTGATCTCATTCACAAAGTATCGGACGGCTGTGCCGCTCTGCCCCTTGATCTCCGATAGATCCAGCCGTTCCTTCTTGTCAGTGTCCATCGGCGCGCCTCCGCGCTCTAGAATCGCGTCCAGATAACCCGATAGCCACTCATTCTCCGCCATCGCCGCCACTGATTTTCGTTCAATGCTCAAGATTTCGCCAACAGGTACTGGATAATTTGTGGAACAAGGGACGTCGATTAAAGACGGAGGCGGAACCGTTCACGATCCAGTAGAACTCGGGGAAAGCGTCAGCCAGAATACGCTGCGTTTCAAGAAATTTCAGGAACCGACGACAGAAGGTGGAAGCCGGAATTTCACTCCCAGTCTAAAACAGGGCGAACGTTACAAGGAAGAATCTACGCCGTGTATTCGAAGGCACCAGTCGTCAGTGATTTGCTGGAAGTCGCAAGCGAGAATCGACGATAGGCTGCGGGAATGGTTGTGGAGCTGAAATTATGGAGCAATGGGAATGGCTGAACGGATATTCTTGTTGCACAAATTTCAGTGCATGGAGAACAAACAAAAGATAATTCCGTGGAGCGGAATGCGGGAGAGCCATGCATTGCGCAATGCGAAGGGGAAAAGAGGTGTCGGGGACAAAAGGGTGCGGAGGACATGGCGGAACAGCAGGGGTGGGGGAAAATGAGGAGAAAGGCGCAAGTACGAACCTTACTGTATACTGACGTCAACCACAGAAAAGCGAGAGATCGTACTATACCGCTCTAGTTTCTGTTTTCATTGTGTTGCCGTGACTGAACGAGCCCGTGGTGGTGGATGGTTCTCGTGTCTCCTACGGCCTGCGCCGATTGGTTGGGCGGAAGACTGCAGCCATGCCTTCCGCCCAGCCAATAAAAAGGCTGGTCAAGTCGCAACTCTATTCCGCACGCGTCGCACGAGAGTGGAAAGGCGATGAAAACGACGACCTGCTGCACCTGCTTAGCGGTCGCCCATAATCGAACCGTCTATGGGCTACATGCCTGCCATCTGGCTGAATCTAACTCGTCCGAAAGTTCTCCACCACTCTGGGATCTCCACACAGCCCACAGCCAGCATGGCTTCGAATGTGAAAACTCGTTGTAATCAGCGTGGTTGAAACCTTTTGACAAGTGAAACAGCATGATTTTAGAAAACGTGCTTATTTGGAGAATATGTACCGTACAAATGTTTGACTTCTACCGGTATCCAGGGTGTAGGAATTTCAAAGAATGTACAATGCCAGAGATTGTATTCCATCCAGAGAAGGATCTATAGATTAATTGCCTTGTTTGAATGTATTTTCACATTCTCTACCTTGATATGAAACCCCTTCGGGTTTACCATGTTATGGGGAAAACAAAGCTCCAGCTTGAATTATTACCTTACAAAACCCAACTAGAAAAGAAACATCTACATTCAAAACCATCATTGCTACAAACAAACAACTAGGATGTCACACCTCTCCGTCCTCAAGTTCATCATCATCATCATCATCCATGATCGCACGTCTCTTTGCTGGCCGGTGGTGCCACGTCACCGCATCCTCCTCGCTCTCTTCACTGCTGTCCACCTCCTCCCCCTCCTCCCTCTCTGCAGCAGCACCACTCAAACCTGCTCCGTGGTTGCCAGCTGCAGCAGCAGCACCAGAGGCAGAAGCAGCAATTCTGTGATCACCAGAAGGACCTGCAGCAGCAGCAGTAGGAGCAGCAGGATGCCTCCATGCCGGAGATGACCCTGCTCCACTCCTCTCCACTCCTACCACTGCCTCTCCACACTCCCTCCTCTCCACCCTCCCCCCTACCCTGCCATCCCTCCTCTCCACTCCTGCCCCAGTGCCTGCATTATCGTGTCTTTCCACGCCTCTTCTTAGTCCGCTTTCTGGCCTCTCTTCTCCCCAGTTTGCATGCCCTGCTCCCCGTCGCCCCACTCCCAGCCCTTCTCGCTCACACTCCCGTCCCTCGTGCCCCCCTTCGCCATGCCCCCTCCTGTTTGTCCGTTCGTGCCTCTCTAACCCCACTGCCACTCCCACATACTCCCCTGGTTCCTCCTTCACCCTCACATGTGTGCCACTGCCACCCGGCCCACCTCTGTCAGGAATGCAACTGCCACCTGCCACCCCACTGCCACCAGCCATCCCACTTTCCCCTCCTAGCTTCCTCTTCTTGCCTTCATCCAAGCCTGCTGCTCCGGCTCCTCCCAGCCCACCTCCTCTCCCCACTCTTGCTCCGCCTTGCTCCCCGACCCCTCCCCCTCGTCCTTCCCCTGCCCGCCCTGCCCCCACTCCCCCACTCGCCTCTCTAGCTCCAACCCTGCTTGGCCCAGCAGCAGGACCATGTGCACCTTCACCCATTCTTCGGCTCATGCCAGCACCCGCCCCCTCACCCTCTCTCCTCCCTTCGTTCACCCTCTGCTCACTCGCTCTCCCTCTCTCCCTCTCGCTCACTCGTTTACCCTCGCTCGTCGTCCCTTTGCCCTTGGCTGCAGCGGCAGGGGAAGACTTGACAGCAAAAGCTTTCTGAGGCGCCTCAGAACTCGTCCCTTTGCCCTTCGCCTCAGCAGCAGGTGAGGACTTTCGAGCAAAAGCTTTCTGCTTTCCCATTGGTGGCTTGATTCTGAGCCCACCTGCTGCTCCTCCTGCTTCACCTCCTCCTCTTCCTGCTGCCGCTGCAGCCGCTCCTGCTCTGCCTGCTCCTGCTCCTCCTCCCGCTCCCGCTGCTGCTGTTTCTCCTGACCTTCTTGACGCTCCTGCTGCTCCTGCCGTTTCTCCCGTTCCCCCACCTGCAGCAGCTCCTTCTGTGGCCCTTGCTGCAGCACTGCTTCTAGTCGTAACAGGGACGCAGTTGCTGTCAGCATCTGAAGCAGCACCAGTCAAGGTGCGCCCATCAGCATTCAGCGTACCAGCAGCGCCAGCAGCAGCACCGGCAGCGGCACCAGCAGCAGAAGCAGCAGCAGAAGCAGCGGCAGCAGCAGCAGACGCAGGAGAAGCAGCACCAGGGAAGCTACTGTAGTGTCTGGAAATCCCAAGGGTGACCTCGTTAGGAGCTGGTTCAACGTAGTTGGGGTCATTGCACTTGCCTCGTATGGGGTCCATGTAGCAGAACCTGGGGAGCAAGTCAAAAGGAGTCAACAGGAGTCAATGCGAGTCAACACAAGTCAATGAATGGGTGTATACGGGCCAACAACTGTCGGCACTTGCCTCGTATGGGGTCCATGTAGCAGAACCTGGGATTAAAGAAGGGCAGGGTCAACAAGAGTCAACAAGATCCCAAGGGTGGCCTCGTTAGGAGCAGGTTCAACATAATTGGGGTCGTTGCACTTGCCTCGTATGGGGTCCATGTAGCAGAACCTGGGAGGAAAGTCAACAGGAGTCAACAGGAGTCAAAGGAAGTCATTAGGAGTCAACGAGTGGGTGTGTAGGGGTCAACGACTGTCAGCACGTGCCTTGTATGGGGTCCATGTAGCAGAACCTGTAGGAAAATTCAACAGGAGTCAAAGTCAACAGGAATCAACCAAAGCCAAAAAGAGAGGATGCATAGGGGCCAACAGCTGTCAGCACATGCACCATAAGGGGTCCACGTAGCAGAACATGGGGTAAAGGAGGGGCAGAGTCAACAGAAGTCAACAAGAGTCAACAAGAGTCAACAGGTGTCAACATGAAGCATGCATTCAATGGCAGGCAGAGAGAGTGAGCACACATTGGACTCCTCTTCCTACCATCACCCGCCATACCAGTCCTCTGGCAGCATCTCAAATGTCACATCCATCACCACCCCTGAGAACCCCTCAGCACCTCACATCCCCCATCACCATCCCTTAGCACCCCTCGGCATCCCTCATACCAGTTTTCTGGCAGCATTTCAGAGGTGACACTGGGCGGCAGGATATGCCACTGCTGGCACTTGTCGCACTGCACCCAGTCCCTGTGATCCTGTAGCACTGCCCCCTCTGGTATGTTCGACTGAACACGGGGGAATGGGGAAGGAGAACAGGAGGGAGGTGAGACAAGGGAAATGTGGAAGGGAAGGGTGGGCAAGAAATCGAACTCCAGCTGCAGCCAACCTGTTTTTGAGACGATCACCTAAAACTTGAGGCGCCTCAGAAATCGTTTTGAGTCGCCTCAAAATGGTGAAAGGGGAAGGGTGGCCAAGAAATCGAGCTCCAGCTGCCGCCAACCTGTATTTGAGAAGCCTTAAGAACAGCCCTCAAAGAGGAATGAAACCAAAGAATCGACTGAAAAGCATCTCACAGTGGGCAGGTCCTTGTCGAAATTGTCTTCCCAGTACTGGTTGAAGGTGATCGACAGGAAGTCCTTGAGCCGCTGATGCTCCTTGTTCACCCCAACAGATGCCATGGGCCAGTCCTTGTACCTCACTCACCGTGGGGCAACAACCACGGCAACTCACAGTGGGCAGGTCCTTGTCGAAATTGTCTTCCCAGTACTGGTTGAAGGTGATCGACAGGAAGTCCTTGAGCCGCTGATGCTCCTTCTTCACCCCAACAGATGCCATGGGCCAGTCCTTGTACCTCACTCACCGTGGGGCAACAACCACGGCAACTCACAGTGGGCAGGTCCTTGTCGAAATTGTCTTCCCAGTACTGGTTGAAGGTGATCGACAGGAAGTCCTTGAGCCGCTGATGCTCCTTCTTCACCCCAACAGATGCCATGGGCCAGTCCTTGTACCTCACTCACCGTGGGGCGACAACCACGGCAACTCACAGTGGGCAGGTCCTTGTCGAAATTGTCTTCCCAGTACTGGTTGAAGGTGATCGACAGGAAGTCCTTGAGCCGCTGATGCTTCTTCTTCACCCCAACAGATGCCATGGGCCAGTCCTTGTACCTCACTCACCGTGGGGCAACAACCACGGCAACTCACAGTGGGCAGGTCCTTGTCGAAATTGTCTTCCCAGTACTGGTTGAAGGTGATCGACAGGAAGTCCTTGAGCCGCTGATACTCCTCGCCTTCCGCGAATCGCTGCTTGCAGTTCAGCACTCCCAGCTCTCCTGCTGCATCCTGCAAGGACGAAGGTGAAGTGGGGTGTGAAGCGGTTGGAGAGGGTGAGGTTGAGTTCCTTGTAGGGAGAGGGGACTCTGCTTGCAGTTCAGCACTCCCAGCTCTCCTGCTGCATCCTGCAAGGACGAAGGTGAAGAGGAGTGTGAAGTGGTTGAAGAGGGTGGACAGGAAGTACTTAAGCCGCTGATACTCCTCGCCCTCTTCAAACCGCTGCTTGCAGTTCCGCACTCCCAGCTCCCCTGCTGCATCCTGCAGGGACGAAGGTGAAGAGGAGTGTGGAGCGGTTGAAGGGGGTGGAAAGGGAGCTCTTGGCAGGGAGAGCAGTCTCTGCTTGCAGTTGAGCACGCCCGTGAAGGGGAGTGCGGCCAAGGGTCAACAAGGGAGCCTGATACACAGTAAGGTGTATTTTGAGGCGCCTCAAAATACACCTCACTGCACGCAGTCTCTGCTTGCGGTTGAGCACGCCCGTGAAGGGGAGCGCGGCCAAGGGACAACAAGGGAGCCTGATACACAGTACTCACACAGAGAGCGGTAGTGTCCACCGAGTTGACTTTTGAGTCGACTCAAAAGCCAAGGGACAACAAGGGAGCTTGATACACAGCACTCACAAAGAGGGCAGTGGTGTCCACCACGCCCACCACCCCCAGCCCAGCATCTCCCGAATACTCCAGCCGCCCCACGTGCTTATACGCCTCTATCAGCCAACGCTCAAATCACTACAAGACATTCACACTGCAGGTTTTTGAGAATTCTCAAAAACCAGCTCACACTGCAGGCAACTCAAGAAGATTCCTTTACTCACGAAGAGGGCAGTAGTGTCCACCACGCCCACCACCCCCAGCCCAGCATCTCCCGAATACTCCATCCGCCCCACCCGCTTATACGCCTCTATCAGCCGCCCGTGCCAGTACAGGAAGAACCCGCACCGCCCACACGCCCTCTCCCCCTCGTCCATGCCCATGCGCACTTGCACCGGCTGCCCCATGACGGTTCCAGTGGTGGAGAGCGGTTGGGAGAGGTTCTGGGTGATGTCGACGCTGCCTTGCACGGGGCTTCCTTGCACTGTGATGGTGGCGGGGTTGTGGAGAAACATGACCCGCAGGTAGGCTCGTAGGGAGTAGTCTATTGGTACCTGGAAGGCAGGGAGGAAGGGAAAGGGGAAGGGAGATAGAGGGACGGCGGGTGGGTGAGACAGGATTTGTGGGAATGTCCGCTCTGCACTGCCTTGCACTGTGATGGCGGCGGGGTTGTGGAGAAACACGACTCGCAGGTATGCACGTAGGGAGTAGTCGTGGAGGGTGGAGCGGGGAAGGGGAGTTCAATGGGAAGGGAAGGGAGTGAAGGGGAAGGGGGATATAGACAGCCCCTGGAGATATGTCCCTCCACACGGCCTTGCACTGTGATGGTGGCAGGGTTGTGCAGAAACATGACTCGCAGCAGGTACGCCTGCAGGGAGTAGTCTGCAGAGCTGGTTGGAGCGCTGCAACACTCACATCTTGGCAGAGCTGGTTGGGGCGGGAGCGGGGCTGCCTGGTGCGGATGAGGATGTGGTGAGTTGTGGTGTCACACAGGGGAAAGACTGACCGTATCACATGGGTGGGCTCGCTAGTAGCTACTCACGTCTTGGCAGAGCTGGTTGGGGCGGGAGCGGGGCTGCCTGGTGCGGATGAGGATGTCATGGTGCACATCGCAGCAGGGGAAGGACTGACTGCTGCTGCTGAATCTCTCATACGGGCTGGTTAGCTAGTAGCCACGACTTTTGAGACTGCCTCAAGACTCACGTCTTGGCAGAGCTGGTTGGGGCGGGAGCGGGGGCGCCTGGTGCGGATGAGAATGTCGTGGTGGGTGCTTGCTCACTGCACTCACCATGTCAGTACGCATGGTGGGCTGCTGTGGTATCGACACACAGGCAGCAAAGAGAAGCCGCATGTACCTCACCTCACTGACCCATCTACTCACGTCTTGGCAGAGCTGGTTGGGGCGGGAGCGCGGCCGTCTGGTGCGAATGAGGATGTCGTGGGCGGTGTCGTCCCACTCGAGCTCGTACGCTGCATCTGGACGCGACAGGCGCTTGAGGTTGAGCACGTAGATGCGCGTGCCTGTGGGGGGGGAGTCGCTGCTGCTGCCGCCACTTGCCTGCTCCAACCTGTGAGCAGAGTGAGCGGGAAGAGGAATGGGATCAGAGCAGAGGGTTGAACACGTAGAAGCAAGTGCCGGTGGGGGTTGTGCCTGTGTGCGGGTGAGTGGGCCGTGTGCAGCAGTGGTGGCCTCACCCACTTACTTGCAGATTCGAAAAGGCCACTCACTTGCAGAACTCCTGGTTTATCCTTCGCTCGTCTAGAGGCGAGAAGTCAAAGATTGCTGACTTGCGCCTCTCCGCCTCCTCCTCTGAATGCACCCCCAGATCCACCTGCCACTCAACACTCCCACCTCCCCCTGATACAACCTGCCAGCATTACTAACCTGAACCACTCACTTGCGGAACTCCTGGTTTATCCTTCGCTCGTCTAGAGGCGAGAAGTCAAAGATTGCTGCCTTGCGCCTCTCCGCCTCCTCCTCTGAATGCACGCCCAGATCCACCTGCCACTCAGCAGTCCCACCTCCCCCGGCGCCAGCAGATCCACTTCCCCCAGATACCACCCGCTTGTACGTCACGATGGGGATCTCCAGCTCCTGCCGGCCGTGGTTGAGCGAGCGGGAGAGCAGAGCGATGCTGCGGCTGTCCCTTGACTGGGTCAGCACAAGTGCATCGTTGCCTATGCGCATCGTTCCTGTCTGGTGGTTTTAATTGGAAAACGGGGGTGGAACGGAGAAAAAGAAGACAGAGAAGGCGGTTTTTGGGCTTGTGAGAAAGGGGTTTGTTGTGAGAGTCGCTATGGGGATCTGGAGCTCCTGCAGGAGCAAGAGGGAGAGCAGTGCGATGCTGCGGCTGTCCGTTGACTGGGTGAGCACCAGTGCGTCGTTGCCTATGCGCATGGTGCCCGTCTGGTGGTGAGGACGGGAGATGGACGGGAGGAATGAGCGAACGAGAGTCAGGAGAAGGGTCTGCAGCTCCTGCAGGGCCCGTTGAGCAGGGATGCAGTGCGATGCTGCGGCGGCTGTCCCTTGACTGGGTCAGCACCAGCGCGTCGTTGCCTATGCGCATCGTGCCCGTCTGGTGGTGAGGACGGGAGGGAGGAAGGGAGGTGGACGGGAGGTGGACGGGAGGAACGAGGGTTAGAGAAGGGGACTGAGAGAGTCACAGTGGGAATCTCCAGCTCCTGCCGGCCGTGGTTGAGCGAGCGGGTGAGCAGCGCGATGCTGCGGCTGTCCCTTGATTGAGTCAGCACCAAGGAGAGGGGAGGGGAGGGGAGGGGAGGGGAGGGGAGGGGAGGGGAGGGGAGGGGAGGGGAGGGGAGGGGAGGGGAGGGGAGGGGAGGGGAGGGGAGGGGAGAGAAGGGGAGGAGAGGGGAAGGGGAGGGGGAAGGGAAGGGGCCCCAGCAACAGCATCTGCACCAGCTCGCCGTGATCCATGCCCTTGCCAAGGCCCTGCTACCATACATACCTGCAGCGAGTATACAAGAAGAGCCGCGAGTTGCATCGCACGCACACACCTTGAAGCCAACTCCGAATCGGCCAATGTGGTGGGGGTCCTCCTCTGCGGGGAGCTCATGGCCCAGCGACAGCAAGGTGAGTGTTGAGTTGAGTCAACTCAGCACTTGGGGGTCTGCCTGCAATGCAACACAGCGCACCTTGAAGCCAACCCCGAATCTCCCGATGTGGTGGGGGTCCTCCTCTGCGGGGAGCTCGTGGCCCAGCGACAGCATCTGCACCAACTCGCCATGGTCCATGCCCTTGCCATCGTCACACCTACCATACCTGCTTCACGTTGGATTTCAATGTGGTGAAACACACCTTGAAGCCAACCCCAAATCGGCCGATGTGGTGGGGGTCCTCCTCCGCTGGGAGCTCATGGCCCAGCGACAGCATCTGCACCAACTCGCCGTGGTGCATGCCCTTTCCATCGTCACACACGTGTAGAACTGGGACTGGCTCAGAGGGCACAGCGGAGGAGGAGGGGCGAGTGAAGGAGGAGGAGGAGGGGACTGGTGCTGCTGCTGCTGAGGGTGATGCTGCGGGAACTGCTTTTGCTGCTGCGGCTGCCGCGGCTGCTCTTGGGGGGAGCTTGGCCGTGCTGATGAAAATGTCCAGCCTGTGGTGAAAGGGACGTGGGTGGAGGGATTGCAAGGGGACATACATACACAACATAGAGCTTAGGTTACAAGGAAACGAAGGTCCAACTGCTTCTGTTGCTGCCGCCGCTACCGCCGTTGCTCTTGAAGGGAGTTTGGTCGTGCAGAGCAAGAGCAAGGGCTGGTCGTGCTGATGAAAATGACCAGCCTGTGGTGAAAGAATTTTTGAGGCGCCTCAAAAATCGTCTTTTGAGGCGCCTCAAAAATCGCAGCTGCTAACCCCGTTGCTCTTGAAGGGAGTTTGGTCGTGCTGATGAAAATGACCAGCCTGTGGTGAAAGAAAGGAACGTGGAGAGATTGCCAAGCGGGCATACACAAAACGGAACTCGGGTTACAAGGAAAAAAAGGCCCATCTGCTTCAGTTGCTGCCACTACTGCTGCTGTTGGGGGGTTGACAGAGAATTGTACTGCAAGTAACAATGGTGTTGGCAACCAGCATGTATGCACACGTGACATGCACCAGCAGTGGGTGTTTGAGGTGCACATGCCTCAGAGCTTGGTTTACAAGAAAACAAGGTCTTTCTCTGTGTGTATGTGTGCCAATCAATCCCAACCCCATCCCTACCTGCGTGCTTTGGCGTCCATGGAGTTATCTATCAGCTCCGCCAGTCCCCCAAACACCCACTGCTGGTGCGTGTGCGCTAAGGACGCCAGGTACTGCGGATGCATGCCGGGTCCAGGCGCACGGGCAGGGGGAAGAGAAGGGGGAGGCGGAGGGGCGGGGGAAGGCGGAGGGGGAGAGGGGCGGGCAGGTGGAGGGGGCATTGGGGAAGCAGCTGGAAGAGGAGGAGGAGGAGCAGGAGCAGGAGCTGAGGGAGGATGGGGAGGAGGAGGTGGAAGTGTGGGAGGAGGGGGCAGTGCACCTTTGAAAGAGAATGCTGATGTGGGGGTTGCAGATGCTGACGAGGACAATGGAGGTGCTGACGAGGACAATGGAGGTGCTGACGTGGATACTGGAGATGCTGACAAGGACAATGGAGGTGCTGAGGTGGATACTGGAGCAGCAGGGGCGGAGGCAGCAGGGCGAGTGGAGAAACTCGCAGATCCTGCAGCAGTGAGGCCCGGAAGGCTCTGCGCTCTCGGGGAAGCACGGCCGTGTGGCGGAGGAGGGTGGTGGGAGGACCAGCCGCCTGGTGAACCAGGAGCACGAGGCGAGCCATGCCCTAGGGGAGTGTGACCGTGCTGTTGCCATTGCTGCTGGTGCCGCTGCTGTTGTTGGTGTTGCTGTTGCTGCTGCTGCTGCTGTGGTGGCAGTGGTGGCGGTGGCGGTAGTGCTTGTTCCTGTTGTTGGGGCTGCTGCACAGATGCAGAAGACACCTGTGGTTCGGGCTCGAATCCAGGTGGAACCCGCCCCAGTTGTACCTGCGTCCCTGCCCATCTCTGCCCCTCCTGCTGCACCTGCTGTCCCAGATGTCCCTGCCCCTGCGCAACTGAATGCGGTTCGAGCTCAAATCCAGGTGGAACCCGCCCCAGGTGTACCTGCGACCCTGCCCACGCTTGTGCCTGCTGCTGCCCCTGCTGCATCTGCTGCCCCTGCCCATGCCCTTGCCCCTGACCCTGTGCAACTGAACGTGGTGAGGCTGCTCGAGTAGGGGGCGGAGGTGATGCCACGTGCGAGTGTGCCTGCACAGGTGGCACCTGTCCCAGATGCGCCTGACCGTTTGCCACCTGGGCACGTGCCTGACCAGGCGCCATCTGAGAATGCGCCACCACCTGACCAGGCGCCATCTGACCAGGCGCCGTGTGAGCAGGTCTTATCTGCTGCTGCGCCATCTGCTGCTGCGGCAGCAGTCCCGGGAGCACCGCAGGGAAGCGCGGGGCGCGGCGGGGGATGCCAGCTGGCAGCGGCGCGTAGTACGCCCGCGCAGAGGAGAAACCGGTGGGGAGAGGTGCAGAGGGGTGGGCGAAGGCGGGAGGGGGTGGGGGAGGAGAGGTAGAGGTGGTGGTGGATGGGTTGGCGATGGGGAGGAGGCCGAACTGGTACTGCCCTCGCGCCGATGTGATGAGTCCCACCTGGTGGGCGGAGGAGAAGATGGGGAGGAGGAACAGGGTGGAGAAGAAAAAGGGAAAGGGGAAGTGGTGAGGAAAATAGGGAGGGTTGGAGGGGCAAAAAGGGTGGTGGATGGGGTGGCGATGGGGAGGAGACCGAACTGGTATTGCCCTCGCGCTGATGTGATGAGCCCCACATGATGGGACGGGAAGAGGGGGAGGAAGAACAGCATGGAGCGGCCGAAGAGGGGGAGGAAGAACAGCATGGAGCGGCCGAAGAGGGGGAGGAAACAATGAGGAGGAACAAAGGGGAACAGAAAATAACTAGAATGGAGAGGGGTGTGCAATTTGGACAAGGAAATGGAGGAAATGGGGGGAGAGAGGCTGGGTGGAAAGGAGAGGGAGGAATGGTGAGGGGTAAGAGCGGGATGGGGAGGGGCTTGGCATTTGCAGTTTACGCAACGAACTACCCCTTTACCCCATTAATATATCCCCCCACCCACCCGGCCATGCGTCCTGAGCACGTGCACGAGCTGCTCCCAGTTGTTGACGTCCACAGAGGAGGAGCTTCTCTCGGGGTACACTCGGAGTAATTCAACCCCCCTTTCTCCTCAACCACTCACACATGTATGCACGCGTGTGCGCGCGCGCAAACTAACACACAACACACATCCACTTACCCTTCCATGCGTTCGTAACACGTGCACGAGCTGCTCCCGGTTATTGACGTCCACAGAGGAGGAGCTGCGCTCGGGGTACACTCGGAAGTGATTCAGACCCCCTCCTACCTATCACCTGAACCACAGACACACGTGTGCGCGTGCACGAGCTGCTCCCAGTTGTTGACGTCCACAGAGGAGGAGCTGCGCTCGGGGTACACTCGGAAGTGATTCAACCCTCCCCCTCCCCACTCCCCATTCCCCCTCCCTCCTTGACCACAGACAAGCACGTTACAGACACCCACACACCCACCCACCCGGCCATGCGTCCTGAGCACGTGCACGAGCTGCTCCCAGTTGTTGACGTCCACAGAGGAGGAGCTGCGCTCGGGGTACACTCGGAAGTGATTCAGACCCCCTCCTACCTATCACCTGAACCACAGACACACGTGTGCGCGTGCACGAGCTGCTCCCAGTTGTTGACGTCCACAGAGGAGGAGCTGCGCTCGGGGTACACTCGGAAGTGATTCAACCCTCCCCCTCCCCACTCCCCATTCCCCCTCCCTCCTTGACCACAGACAAGCACGTTACAGACACCCACACACCCACCCACCCGGCCATGCGTCCTGAGCACGTGCACGAGCTGCTCCCAGTTGTTGACGTCCACGGAGGAGGAGCTTCTCTCGGGGTACACTCGGAAGTGCGGCAGGGATGGCAGCGACGGCAGCTCCACTCGCGGAGTGAGCTTGGGTAGCAGCACCCACGTCTCGTCGCTGAGAGGCGGGGAGGAGATACAGGGGCATGGCAACACGTATGTAGGATGCAGTGTGTGAGGGAGAGATGGGAGAGATGGCAGGGATGGCAGCTCCACTCGCGGGGTCAGCTTCGGCAGCACCACCCACGTCTCGTCGCTGGGTGGCCGGGAGGATACAGGCACATGACAGCACGTATGTGAGCACGAGGACGGGTGGATAAGGACGGAACGTGGGAGAGAGTGGGCAGAGCGGAGGTGCCCGAGAGAGGGCAGGGAAAGCAAGATGCCACGTGTCAGCCAGGCACTGACCTGATGTCAAGAGGCCACGTGTCAGCCGCTAGGTTGCAGATGATCTTCCCGTCAAAGTTGTACAGAGGCACTGTGCTCACCACCTCGGGCTCTCCGGGGTCCATGTCTGCTCATTTGTAGATTGGGCGAGGGAGGGGGAGGGAGGAAGGGCTCTGCTCATGCGCGAATGTAATGCAGCCTGCAGGTGATTCTCATGTGCATGTGTGCACTCACACCCGTAATCGTGCTGTCAACCCCCCACGCTCTGCGGCACTGCTCGATCCATTCTCAACCTCCCATTCTCAAGCTCTAGAATGACCACGGTCCACATGAGTCTCTGTTTCACAAGAGTCTCCACGCCCTCGACAGATCGCGAAGCCTCTGTTTCAGACAGCTGACCTTTACCTCTACTAGTTGACCGGTGCTCCTTTTGCTTAGGATCCATGGCGCAACCTATGCCGTAACCTATGCTTCCCGCGCTCGGGCTCTACATTGGCGCGGCAATTGGCGGCCAGCGGTCAAACAGCGCGCCTGCTGACAGTGCGTCTGACGGTTGACGGTTTCGACGGTTGACGGCCGTCAGCGGACAGTGGACCAGCGAGTGGGAGAAAAAGTGCGTCTGCGCTGGCTGGTCGACAGTTGTTCCCGCGAAATACGGAGCAGACAGAGACTAGACCGCGGACAGAGACGCGACGCGACGCTCTGACTAAAAGACGAGGCTAGGCCGCGCTGCCACGGTGGGTCAGTGACGATGCGTCTAAGAATCGCGCTGGCAGGGTAGGGTCGCACGGGAGGGTGGGTCGCACGGGTGGTTGGGTCGCACGGGTGGTTGGGTCGCACGGGTGGGTGGGTCGCACGGGTGGGTGGGTCGCGCGGGTGGTTGGGTCGCACGGGTGGGTGGGTCGCACGGGCGGGTGGGTCGCACGGGCGGGTGGGTCGCACGGGCGGGTGGGTCGCGCAGGTGGTCGCACGGGCGGGTCAGTGACGATGCGTCCAGGCCTCATCTGACGGAATTGCGTCGGTGAAGGAAGAGAACACAAGAGACGAGGGGATTGTGCCAGACGAGCGTGCGACGAGAGATTCTGTCGTATGAGCGTGCGACGGGGATAGGCGATTCGTCGATGGAAAAGAGGGAATTTGACGACGACTTTAATTCGCCCACTGAATGCTGCGCTTCCGTCCTGCTCTTCACGTCAGCAGCGTGCAACTAACGGCCGGCCAGACGGCGACACTGTGAACTGAAGCTTGGCCGGCAATTACGGCTAACAACGCGACGCGCCAGTGCAGCGTAATCCCAGTGTTCGCGCATACCTAAAGCGCGTCGTCGAGAAAGCACGGTCCTATCGGGCAACCCACGGAGAGTGACGGGCCAACAGAGGACAGAGTGCGAAGGACGGCGGAGGGGATCTGTGCGACGCGACGCACCGTAGATGTCGCCTGCGACGTTGGTAGGATCCATGCAGGCGTAGCGACCTCCTCGAGCGACTCGCGTCGCGCAAGCTGATCTGTCGAAATGCTGCTGCTGCTGCTGGCAGAATGCTTCGACTTATACGATGCCGTAAATACTTGACGGGGTGGGTAAACGTTAACGGAGCCACGGCACGCAGCCCTGCAAGGTAGACGGAAACACGCAGAGGCATGACTAGCCGTTAGTCTGCTCCGCTTGTTACGGGCTCACACTATCAGGGTCCGCTGTTGGAAAAATGAAGTTTCCTCGTCAGTGGTCGAAAGACAACCCCACCCATCCCTTGGATTTGGTCTCTGGACACCCAGCAGCACCAGGGGTAGAATGAGGAGCTTGAACCATCACACCCCCACCATGAGTTGGGTGGGACATACCCAACTAGTCTTGGACCTTCTCTCCCACTTGTCAATACCCTCTTGGTCACCATTCTAGCTTAGACATGTTGGGTGTCTCATGTTCATAACCATCTCTCGTCCTCCATTGCAGACATATCGCTCCATCTCCTCTATCAGACCCGCTTGTCTACGAGTGCATCTTCCTGCATGGTCCTGTTTTAACCGAGGTCTTCAGGCCGATAACACGCAGATCAACTCATCTCAGCTGTGGTGCGCTCCGTGGATGAACTAGTATCTCTATGCTCAACGCCTAGATTGCGTTGCTCATCCTGTCACTAACTTCCTAGTCTAGTGCTGATGACGCTACCGCTAATAGGAATGCTAGTGCTTAATGTAGATAGGAATGCTAGCGGAGGTAAAAAGGCGGATACAAGGAGTAACTAGAATGTGCAAGTCCTAAAGTGTTGAGGATGGATGGGGGGAGGACGTGGTGGTTTATATATGAGAAGGACATGAGTGTTGGAGAGTGCATTGTGGGTCACCAATGCTATGTTACAATTTGTAAGATGCCATGTGGCGCAAGTTGTGTGGCCAATCTCCAACCCCTTTTCAAACATCCAACTTGGTTGCAAACTGTACACCCCAAATGTAACATAACAAATCAACTTTCAACTATATATTGAAAAAAACATACTAATAATAACACACCTCTTCAAGTGGAGTACTCACCCGCGATCGCCTCAGCGTAAGAGCGCGGGGTCGGGATGTCTGGAGCATCCGGGTCTCCCTCAGGGGCAAGCAGCATGGCCACAAGATGAGGCGCAGCGGCTGCAAGACACTCAAGGTCCTCCTGCCTGTCCTCAAGGACGTCCGTGCCAAGAGCACACTCACCCCTGACGGACGGAGGACAGATTGACTCTGACTCAGCAACAAGACTAGCGGCGTAGTCTAGACGACAGGCAGCAGCAAAGTCAACAGGCTCAGAGACTAAGGCAGACGCAGCAGCAGACTCAAACGACGGGTCAGTGACAACAGTGGCTAGCAGACGCGTGACAGTAGGGTGCTCAGCACGAAACCGGTCAGACTCAGGGTCAGCAACGACAGGCAGAGAAGACGCAGGAGGAGACGGCAGAGGAACACGCTGCGGAGCAGAGGACGGACGCAGAGCCATGAGGGGTGTGCCGCGGACAGCCGGCGGACGCGGACGAGGAACACGACGACTAGTGCGGACAGGCGAGACAGGACGCGACGCAGGCTCACGACGCTCAGCAAGACCTCCTGGCTGCTCAGTGTAAGGAGAAGGAGCAGGTAGCGGTGAGCCAGGCTGTAACGGAAGACCAGTAGACGACGGGAGACTAAGAACCTGGCGAAGCACGGAGTCAGGTGGTGGCAGAGACGACGGAGACGGCGGAGCAAAGAACAGTCGTGGCTGCGCAGCGCCACCAGCACCAGCAGCTCCAGCACCACCAGCAGCTCCAGCACCTCCAGCAGCTCCAGAACCTCCAGCTCCAGCTCCTCGAGCGCCAGCACCACCAGCAGCTCCAGAACCTCCAGCGCCAGCACCGCCAGTACCAGTGTCACCAGCAGCTCCAGAACCTCCAGTACCAGCACCTCCAGCACCAGTGTCACCAGCAGCTCCAGAACCTCCAGCGCCAGCACCTCCAGTACCAGCGTCACCAGCAGCCCCAGAACCTCCAGCGCCAGCACCTCCCGTACCAGCGTCACCAGCAGCAGCACCCCAAGAACCGGCACCTCCAGCCCCAGGGTCTCCAGCAGCGGCACCCCCAGACTCAGCACCGCCAGCCCCAGCAGCTCCAGTACCTCCAGTACGAGCACCTCCGGAACCAGCGAGTCCAGCACCTCCTGTAGACAAAGTACCAGCACCACTCCCAGCTGCAGAGCCCCGAGCTCCAGCAGCGGGACCCTGACGGCTAGCGTACCACTCGTGCAGCTGCTGAGGGGAGAGAGGCGCACGCGGACGAAGGCGGCCTCTCCAAGGAGACCGCGCACCAGCAGTCTCAGTACCCTCAGGCGCCGCACCCCCAGACTCAGCACCCCCAGGCTCTGTCAACATATATTTTATATGTGTTGTTTAGGTTAGTCTAGGTGTTACGTTTCTACTTACTTGCATGATTAGGGTTTGCTATATCTAGGGTTGTACTTCACATTTTCTATCAATTCATTCTTATCGTAACATGGTATAGAGCTAGGTTTCCCTTAGGCGATTTTTCCCCTAGGCGATTTTTTTCCCTTAGGCAAAATTTCTCTCGATAGTCTATGGGCCCACCACCCGCGCGCCTCGTAGCGACCCATAGCCCGAAGCGCCCTGCCCCGTAGAGCCCGAGTAGGTCGCGCCCCCCCGTCGACATCGCGCGTCACCCGTTTCTGCCCTGCGCCCCACCCGTTTTTGCCGTGCGTCACTCGTTTTCTGCCCCGCGCCCCACTCGTTTTACCCCGCGCGTTTCCCCCCAGCCCTCTAGCGCGCAGCAGACGAACGCGCGTAGCTGCGCGCGCAGCCTTAGTCGCACCCGCAGCTTCGCGCTAGTACGTCGCGGCCGCGCGCACGTGCAGCCCACCGTCTTAACCGCCCCCCAGACCTGGAAACCCGCCGCCCCAGACCTGAAAACCGCCGCCCCAGACCTGACAACCGCCGCCCCACCTGGAAACCTGCTGCCCCACCCGTTCCAGGCACCTCACCCGGGATCAGCCGCCCCACCCAGTCCTCTCCACCGCATTGAACCGCACAGAACTGCACATAACTGCACAGAACCGCACAGAACCGCCGCCTTAACAGCTTCCCCACCTGAAAACCACCGCCCCAGACCTGCCAACCGCCGCCCCACCTGGAAACCTGCTGCCCCACCCGTTCCAGGCACCTCACCCGGAATCAGCTGCCCCACCCAGTCCTCTCCACCGCATTGAACCTCACAGAACCGCACAGTACTGCACATAACCGCACAGAACTGCACAGAACCGCCGCCTCACCCGTAGCCCGCTGCCTTAACAGCTTCCCCACCTGAAACCTGCCTCCCCACGACCTACCACACCCGCCGTCAGTAGCCCCAGCCGATTACACTGCCGCCAGCTACACCAGCAGCAGCATAGGCTGCCCCCAGCGCACCAGCAGCAACGTAGGCTGCCCCCAGCAGAACCAGCAGAACCAGCAGAACCAGCAGAACCAGCAGAACCAGCAGAACCAGCAGAACCAGCAGAACCAGCAGAACCAGCAGCAGCATAGGCTGCCCCCAGCGCACCAGCAGCAGCTTAGGCTACCGCCAGCGCACCAGCAGCAGCTTAGGCAACTGCCTGCGCACTAGCAGCAGCATTGGCTGCCCCCTGGAGAACCAGTAGCAGCCTAGGCTGCCTCTCAGCAGAACCAGCAGCAGCTTAGGCTGCCCTCAGCAGAACCAGTAGCAGCATAGGCTCACATGGCATGTACTAGGGTTCTACAGCAGCAGGGCCAGCCGCAGCACTCCCGTCAGTTGGGGCCTGCGGGTCCAAAGTGTGGCGCCCCCAGCAGTGGCTCAGCTAGCAGTGGGCGAGACGTCGGCCCCTGCGGGTACCGGGCCCTGACAGGCCCTGGTGCTGGCACTACCTGCTGGAGTCCTGACCACACTGCGTCCAGCTGCTACCGTCGACTCGACGACCTCCACCGTGAGCGTTTTGGTCCTCACGCTATTACACCGCACTGGCCTTCGCGCCTTCGCCAGCGCACTACTGCACCAGTTGAGTCTCACCTGCCTGGTCTAGGACCCTTTCCGGCTGCACGAGTAGAGACCTGTGTTTCCAGTCTTGGTGCGTGTGTTGTTTCCAGTCCCGGCGCCTCTGAGGGTCTTTGTGTAGAAGCTGCAGCTACCACTAGTCTAGCACTAGCCTTTGTAGCTGGTTCGGGTGCGACCCCACAGACTGCACAGCTTTCCTTCACCCTAGATTCTGGAGCGTCCAGCTGTTTCTTTCGCGACTGTACCGACCTCACACCACTGCGCACTCCAGTCACTGTCGCCTTGGCTGACCCCTCTGTGGGACGTGTAGTTGCTAGCAGCACCACCACTCTTCCGTGTCCGGCGGCTCCCTCAGGTTTTCTTACAGGTTACTACACCCCCTCGTTCTCTAGGAACTTGGTGGGTGTCAGTCACCTTCACGACCTAGGCGTAGTCACTACTTTCCCACTGGACGAGCCTGTTGCCTCCTGCACTGTCGGTGC